TCCCCCTCCTAAACTCAATTCATCAATACTGCAGTGATTTGTTTAGCAAGTTCTTTTTACTAGTTTTATGTGGCACAATTCTCATTAAAAGCATATTTGCACAGTATTGTGCATTTACGCTATAAATCCAATAGCAATTGATTTAAAAAACATGGTTTTATATTGAAATGATGGGGGGAACAAGGCAAGCCGTGATCCACCAATCAGCACATGCATGTGATTTTGTTATCCTGATTTGTCCCTACCCGAACCTTTCAGGCACTGCACAACTGGATCATCTCGCCGATCATACATGCTTCATAAAATGACCAGCCATCCCTCAGGGCATTTAATTAGCTTTCCATCACATGCTGACAGAGTCAATGGGAGATTGATTTGATTTTCCCTTGCAGAAGCTTGAACTGCAAATGCCAGAAGTCACATCAGGGACGTTGCATTATATAATGAGTTCATACGGTACCAAACAAAAGGCAGAAATCCATCTATTGGTCTTTATTCTGCAGTGGTTTGTTGTCTAATTGCCTTGATCAGGGCCAATATGTGCACTGAATTTTTGAGGAACAGGTTGTTGGGTTTTGCAACTAGGGGAAATTGTACTTACAGTGCAAAAGTGCAAGAACAGGCATAGGCTATGTGCTGAAACCTACTACATGGTCATTATCCCAAAATAAACAATGACTTTATATTATCCCACTTATTATGTGGCTGCTCACCAAGTAAATAAATTTACATTAAATATTGATTTGAATTTAACTTACATGAGAAAAAAGAGGAGTCATAGTTATACAAGAGACATAAAGCTATCACAGCGAGAAAGACCTGGTTGCCAGGCACAATGCTCTGATATGAGCTATGTTCACACTTGTCAGTGTTTTACTTACAAATATGAGTATCGAAATTTCCTGTTCACACAGTGGCGGAGTAGCTGTCTCGCACTGTTACCCCTTTTCCACCAGCATGTTCAGAGCTAGTGCTATTGCTGGTTTGGAGTTGGTTTGACTGGCGAGCCTTATAAGAACTGGTTTGCCTTTCCACAGTCTAGAGAGCCACCACAGAGCCAGGTCTTACATCTCATCTTTTGTCGAAATGTGGATTTCGATGTGGCCGGCCATTGCTGCTTCGACCGAGGTCCGTTTTTGGTCACTGTACTCTTTCTTCAGTTTTTTTTAAGTTTGTTGCTAATCTGTTCGATGTTCCTGTCGAACCCCGCTGCAGCCATCTTACAATGCTCTGATATGAGCTATGTTCACACTTGTCAGTGTTTTACTTACAAATATGAGTATCGAAATTTCCTGTTCACACAGTGGCGGAGTAGCTGTCTCGCACTGTTACCCCTTTTCCACCAGCATGTTCAGAGCTAGTGCTATTGCTGGTTTGGAGTTGGTTTGACTGGCGAGCCTTATAAGAACTGGTTTGCCTTTCCACAGTCTAGAGAGCCACCACAGAGCCAGGTCTTACATCTCATCTTTTGTCGAAATGTGGATTTCGATGTGGCGGCCATTGCTGCTTCGACCGAGGTCCGTTTTTGGTCACTGTACTCTTTCTTCAGTTTTTTTTAAGTTTGTTGCTAATCTGTTCGATGTTCCTGTCGAACCCCGCTGCAGCCATCTCGCGCTGAATTTGCAGCAACATCGGTTTCGTCCGTGAAGCTCCCTCTAATTTACCCTGGACTTTTGCAGAGGACCAGAGTGCAAGAAAGCAGCTTGTTTCCTCCTCGGACCACTGTTGTTTTTGCTTAATCCTGTCCAACATATTTAGCTGCTATTTCAAAAATGGCGGTCAAAAGTTTTGGTTCGTCTTGTTGGTCACAATAACCCTGCCCCCGGCTCCTGATGCAAGCGGTTCTTACTTCTAGACCAGCTTTATTTTGGTGCTACTTACAAGCCACTTTTCCTGGTTCAGAGCTGGTGCTTTGGGTATCGAAAGACAAAGAACCGATTTGAAACTTGGCTCTGGCTCTGAACCAGCACTCAGACTGCCTTGGTGGAAAAGGTGTATGTGTGAAGAGACAGCTAAGAAGTTGTCCAGAATGGTTCTGTTCACACAGCACCAAAAATACATTTGTGAGTAGGCTACTTAAAATGTATGAGTGTTTTTTGAGAGTGCTTAAACTCGCACTAGACTGAAGTGATAATGTTCTCTGATAATCTATGCTCGCTGTTCGCTGTTTGAATAACCGTGGGAATGAAAGTGTTAGTAACTTAAAATGTTTTCATTAAGTTGTGATCACGTTAAATACAAATTCAGTCCTATTAAAAAATATTTTATGACATCCCCTCCTGGTACTGGTAAAAGACAGGTTTATGATGTGCATATTTAATAGATTGCAGGCTACTCTTTAGGCTACCCTTCCACCTATGGAGTCAATCATTTCGTTTTTTTATGTCAATATGTTTTTATATTTTTCTTTGTTCATTTTTTTTCTTATAGCCAATTTAAATACTATTTAAAAATCACTGCAAAAATCTAAATATTTAAATTTATAATAATGTATAACACAAAAAACTGTAGCCATAGCCACTGCAACAGCCTTTTGTTTTTGTTGTAGTGTTTGTTAGAAAACACTCTCTGTCTTTCTGTTGAGTCCAGACATGTCTTACCCCTCCTTTCTCCCTCTCTCTCAGTCTTATATATACAACGCATTCTTTCTGAATCCCTCCTTCTATATCCATCTCTCTCTCTTGATATTATGTTTTAAATATGTCTTACTTATATGCGAAGTATGCATGCTTAAATGTATACATTAGCTTCTCTTGGTTTTTCTGTCCCCAATAAAGACATGAATGTTATGACTACAAGGGTAAAGGAGTTCGTGATGAAACCATGAAGACAGTTCAGCATTCTTCGCAAAAGTCTATTCCTAATATGTCCATGTTTTTCTGTACATGTGGCTATTTTATATAAACACATGTTCTTGGCCAAAGATCCTACGTGTATGTTATTCATATCCTCATTGGTTAAGAGGATGAAACTCCCCTCGACATATGCCTATATAATATCTGTATTTCTATGAATAAATTGAAGTATTGAGGATACATTTGACTGTGTGTTTTCTTACTTCCCGGCCATTTATTTACACTTTGGGAGACTGAGAAAACTTCAAGGTGGCAAAGAGAATTTACAAAGGGACCAAATTGTTATTCTTTATTAACAGTGTTCTAGAAACATTTTGTTGTTTGTGGCAGGAGTTGGGTGGAGGCAGTGGGATGGACGTCCACCATGCTGATAGATTATTTCACTCTGATCCATTTCAATCAATACAGACTCGTGCAGCCCTGATCTGACTGTTTGGAGATAATGAGATTCCAGCACGCCTGCGGATATTTACTGAGAAGCAGTTTAGGGTGTGAACGGGGTAAAGAACAGAGCGTGAATAGCATTTCCTTGAAAACATCTAAAAAATTATGTTAGACTTTGACGATCATATTTTTGAGTTTAATTATTTTAGCCTTTTACTTGAGTTTCAAAGTATTAGATAGTTTTCAACCTTGTGGTGAAAATGATCATGAATCATTTAGTGGGAAAGATATGAAAGAACAGAAATGCTGTGCTGCAGAGATCATAAGTGTTAAACAACATTTGACTCATCAAACTTTTAATAGCTTTCACATGTATGGCATGGATTCTCATCTATCATCAATCAAAACAAAACATATTGCATTCTTACATGCATTTCAAACAGTTCTCTTTATACTCTACTAAACTACTATAGATGCAATTTAATTAAAACATTTTGTATGTACAGGTACAGAGACTGAGGAATCAAACAATATAGCTACATTTTACAATAACAAGTACTATGTAACTTAATGTAATTCTATCTAGGATTATAAAAAGTTTACTATTAATCTTGACTGACTGAAAAACATTTCTATACAACATAGTCACGTGTTGCCTAATTCATAATATTTCAGTCCTCACGAGTAATAACTCAGTATTGTTGGAGTGAAGATAATTGAATCACATTTAAAATAATATTTTATACAAATATAAAAATGGTCAATTCTGTCAATTTTTACTCACCGTGATGCCATCCCAAACTGTATAATATGATTTTCTTTTCTTTTTTTAAGTTTAGACTCTTATATACTCATCCAAGCTGCATTAATTTGCTCATGTATTATGATTTAAAATATTTTCTATTTTAATATATTTTAAAAATTACATTGATTCCGTTGATGTCAGCTGAAATGTATTATTTGTATTTTATTTTTATTATTATTTTGTTACATTAACTTTCACTGTACTACAGAAAACAAAGTATTCACTTTATATATTTCACATGGATGGAACAACATTTAAATTTCTTTGAATCTCTATTCAGCAAGTTCCTCTTCCTGTCTTTCCAATTCAAATTCCAATAGAACTTCCTGTGGGGTGTGGCCAATTCAATTCACATTCCAGCTCAGTGAAAGGAAGGCACTTCTTTGATTCTGAATCTTTCTCAACCCTGTTTGAAAGACAAGATGGCGAGTAAATGATAACAGTTTTAATTTCTGGATGACTTGACATTGAGCAAAGAAGTACTGTACTCAGTTGGCTAATAGAGCACTGTTGTACTATTAGCATAACCACAACCTACATATAATAATTCCTGCCAGTGTCAAAATGAAACTTTGATTTGGAGTCTTATACATTTTTAAATAGTTTTGCATCACTGTGTTTTACTACAGTACAATAAAATTACTGTAAGTTTACTCAGTGTTTACAAAGCTCCAATCTCATTTGTATTGCCACATGTATATAACAAAGTATTGAGATGAAATTTTGTTATTGACCAAATACTTGTTTTCCACCATAATTTGCAAATAAATTCTTTAAAAATCCTACAATGTGATTTTCTGGATTTTTTTTCTCATTTTGTCTCTCATAGTTGAGGTATACCTATGATGAAAATTACAGGCCTCTCTCATCTTTTTAAGTGGGAGAACTTGCACAATTGGTGGCTGACTAAATACTTTTTTTCCCCACTGTATATATATATATATATAAAATTGTGCATCCCCACATTCAAGACTTTTCACATCATTGTTTGGACCTGCTCCTGGGCTGGGTAACACATTGACATAGGTGGCCAGGGAGCTGGAGCTCTCCTCAGAGATAAGTGACAGCAGTGGGAGACCCTCAGGGTCTAAGTCCACCAGAGAGTGATCCACTGATGGAGAGCGCAGAAGTTTGTAGTATTGTGTCTCTGCAGGCATTCGCACGTCAAGATCCTGAATCTTAGACATGCACCAGCTTTTCACAGCATTGGTAGCAGCTACCTGCATGAAAGATAAAAACAGAGCAACATAAGTTTGATCAATCATGTCTAGGCTGATGCAACTGCAGTGCATCTCTTCTCTTAAGGTATGGTACCTGTTTTCTATCATCCGCCAAGCGTTCCAGGGTGGCTCTCTGATTGATTCGATAATGACACTCCATTGTCTCAGCTGACACATGCTCCTGCATGAGTTTCTCAAGAACTTTAATCTGAACATAAAGAGATATTTGTCTCTAATACCCACTTTTTCAGTGATTTGGAATCGTTTTTCCAACAATGTTCATATTGGATTACCAAGAAATCTACAATAAAGAGCCATGCATCAAAACCAACCATGATCAAGTCTTTCTCTTTCTAAGTTAACTTATATTCATAAGTTATTTATACTTATATTCATAAGTTATTTATACTTATATTCATAAGTTATTTATACTTATTTTCATACATTTTTGAAAGACATTTTTCATTCAAATTCAAAGAATGCCAAATTGAAAAAAATGTATATCTCATATTTTATTTATATTACACATTGGTAGTAAAGACATTATGTTTTATATTTCAAATAAACTACTTATGAATTAAACGTTTCAAATAATTTATGGTTGCTGAAAATTCAGCTTTGCCATCACAGGAATAAATTATATTTTAAAATATATTAAAATAGAATACAGTTATTTTAAATTGTGATAACATTTTACAGTATTACTATTTTTACTGTATTTTTGATCAAATAAATGCAGCTTTTGTAAGCATAAGAGACATTTTATAAAAATATTTGTAAAAATACACCAAACTTTAAAAAGTAATGTATATGTTTCATCTCCAAATATAGAGGGTTATTAAGGAAATTGTAAATAAAAAAAGTTACAATATCACAGCAAACAACAAACCTGATGCTTGTTTTTTTGCTCTATTCTGCCCAGCCTGCAGTTCATCTCCTCTTGGACTGTGTGAATTTCTGACCTCATCTCCATCTTTGCGGCTTTCAGCTTATTCTCCAGCATTTTAATGAGGGGCTTACAATGACAGTCATTCGCAGGAGCCTGTTTGCAGACACTGGTTAAGAGGTTTAAAACAAACAAATGCATTGCATTAACTCTAATGTAGAGTTTACCTGCTTTATCTGTCCATCTTTATCCCTGTAAAGTGTATAAAGCTGATAGGCTTTTCCAGGAGTTTCCTCTTCCTCCTGAGAGCTGGTGCTGCTGTGTTTTACTCTCTGGGATGGAGATCCTCTCTCATGTAGCTGATACTCTCTCCGGAACACATGGTCCAACTTTTTTAATAGCAAAAACATATTTAGAATTACTAGATTTTTATTAGGAAATAAAAATTGTCAGGTAAAATGAATCCCCTGAAAATGTGATAACATCTAAATGAACTTGTTTTATTTAAGACAAAAAACAATTATGAATCTACCTGATTATATTCGGTTATACCAATAAAAGCAATTCAGATTATTAAAAAAAGTTTTTTTTCTATTTATAATGGATATAGTTTAATACATGTAATGATCGCTAAATTGTTTTGATAGTAAAATTAAGATTCATTAAGATTTTTTATTACAATTTTTTAAATATTAAAATAATAACTTCAATCAAATAGCTCATGAGTCATGTTTGTTTGTTTTTTTTGTTATTAAGCCACCTAATAAGCAGAATAATGCACAGTCAGCATTTTATTATTGCAAAATAAACCCTCTAGGATAATTTCAAAAATTGTCACCTAAAAATGTGATAACATCTAAATAAATTTGTTTTAATGAAAAAATTATATGAGTCTACCTGATTATATTGGGTTAAAAATTGATCAAAGAAATGTTTCTTAACTATTTACTGTGGATATAAGTCAATATATTGCACTCTGAAATTGATGTAACAATCGGTAAATTGTTTTAATATCAATGTTATTAAGATTAATTTGATTAATATTAAAATAATAAATAAATCAATAGTTCATGTTTATTTGTTTATTAAGTCATCTAATAAGCAGAATAATGTACAGTTAGCATGTCATTATTGCAAAATAAACCATCTAAAATCATCTAAAAGTATAAATTATTATAATAAATGTTAATTAATATTGATATAAATGTAATATCGCTACCTTTATTCTTGGGCTCCGGATCTTTCTCCTTGTGCCGGGGCTCAAAGTTGCTGTGTTCTGTTCAGGTTGTATCCTGTGATGTACTTGATCACAGTTGTTAGTGTCTTCTGCCACTTCAGTGCAGTCCTGCACAATGATGGGAGTGCTTAGCATGAGAGAGATATTTAGGCAAAAACAATCACATGACCTCTGATCTTTTTTAGGGTTATGGAAGCTTAGTAGTCATGTGACATTTTCTTCTCACTGGCCCCTAGACCCCAATCATATTACAAACGATGAATCTGCAACAGTGCAGATGTCGTTCTAGATGGGTGAATCTTATCTGAATTTTCCACCTTCTGTCGGGAGGAAGGAACTCTGGGGAGGGACTGAGTTCTCCTATGGGCCCCCAAGACATCTCTTCTTTTTCTCACTGTCTTTCCACGAGCAAACCTCTGCAACTGAGCAGGGACATACAACTTGAGTTAGAGAAGCTACTGATAAAATAAAGATTGAAGTTTGGATGGTTAGGATATTTCATTTAGCTCCTGCTGGTAGATACTGTAACTATACCTGTCACGAATCCGGTCCATGAACTTCCGTCTGCTAGCCATCAGAGGTCACCCTTTCCATTTTCATTGACTCTCGCACTACACACGGTTGCATATCATCCCGGACTACATATCCCATCATTCATTGCACTGATTGCACACAGCTGTTTCACTGATTGCACACAGCACTGATTGCACACAGCTTTTTCATATTACTCACTCCCTATTTAACACTCACTCTTATCCCTTCCCCGGGCCGAGTATTGTTTAGCACTTATCAGTTGATAGTTACACTACAGAGCCTTCGTTAGCCTAGCCTAGCCTAGCCTAGCCTAGCCTAGTCTTGCCTAGCCTAGTCTTGCCTAGTCTTGCCTTGCCTTGCCTTGCCTTGCCTTGCCTTGCCTTGCCTTGCCTTGCCTTGCCTTGCCTTGCCTTGCCTTGCCTGTTTTCTCGGTTTCTGATCTTCGCCTGTTTTCCTGGATTTACCCCTTTAGTCTTGCCCCTTTTGACTCTGTTCACCGTTCGTTGACCTTCGCTAGCCCTAGGATTATTCTTGTGTCTTGCCCGCCATATTCCTGTTTGCCCTTGTTCGACCCTGCCTGTGTTTCTGACCTCTCTGCTTAATAAAGCCTGCACATGGATCCGCATGTCTCGCGTCTTGTCAGCCCCATTACAATACCAGGGTACATGAAAATAACTTAAAAGAAAACCAAAAAAAAAAGAAAAAATCTTACTTGAAATAAAAAACTGAAATAAAATCAAATCTAAAAAACCTCAAACTTATTTTATTTGAGCTAGACTCCAAAGCAACATTTCTCATTTTTATTTATTTTCATTTTCATTTTAAAACTGAAATAAAAAGAAACAAATCTATACAGACATTAAATAATAATGACTAATAAAAATGTCAAGAACACAATACAGTTTTATTAATAACTGCGCTTATTAATAATAGTTAAAACTAACTAAAATTAAAATGTAAACAAAAAAAACAAACAAAAAAAAGAACCACCATCTGAGAGCACGTGTCTTTTTCCATTGACGGCCATTCAAAAGTAAACATGTATTTTGGCAAAATAAAAATATTCACAAGAAAAATATTTCCCGCTGATATTTTAGAAGTTTGTTCTGGTCCTTGAAACCAGTTATGTTCCGTTCGCACAGAACAACATATTTTTTCATATTATGTAGACGAAATACTTCCAAGGCACTCACATGGTAAGATAAAAAGCCTTTAATAAACTGGGCTTAAATCATTACAGCTAGGCTGTTTTGCCAAAATGCGTAGCTCTACTTTTAACTAGTTGTAATGATTTAAGCCCAGTTCATTAAAGCCTTTTTATCTTACCACGTGAGTGCCTTGGAAGTTTATTCAGTCTGCATAATTTGATGTGCCAATGAGCACCAGTTGCTATATAAAGACCCCCGTGTAGCACTCTCTGCTTCTGGTTCTTGTAAGAACATATTTTTTCATTTGGAAACGTTCGACTGTTTAGCTCACGTCTTGCATCTTCTGCAGTGCCTCGCACACGATACTGTGTTCTTATAAAGCAGCGCTCAGGCTAAAAGAAGATCACCTTTTTAAAAATATCTCTCCAGAGCTTACATTTTGTTCATTACACTGAGCTTTGCTTTTTTTAATGCAAAAACCATGTTCTGTGTGAATGGCCCCTACAGAGAATTTTCATTGACTCTGTGCTCAAGTTACGTTGTTGTACTAGTAGGTGATGACACATGACTGTGTTTATGAGTGAGTCATTTGAATAATTTGTCAACCAATTAATTCCAAAACACTGAATCATTTAGAAATGGATCAAGGGACTGCCTTTATGAGCCATTAAAGCATTAAAACCGATTCGCTGAGTCATTCATCAAACCGGTTCGTTCAGTAGAGCTGATTGAGTCAGAAGTGAGTCAAGTAATCATGTAATGCTTTGCTATAAAGAGCATGTCTAACAGGACAATGAACTGGTTCTAAATTGAAAATCTTTGAATGTAATAACATTACTTACCTGATTGGATCTTGCTAGAAGAATAGCCAAATCTCGGTTGTTGTTGTCCCGGGCTTTATCAAGAGCAGTGTGGCCTGTCTGTTGATAGATTTAGCATGTTTGCCATTGCCATAACATATTTTTTCATTTGGAAACGTTCGACTGTTTAGCTCACGTCTTGCATCTTCTGCAGTGCCTCGCACACGATACTGTGTTCTTATAAAGCAGCGCTCAGGCTAAAAGAAGATCACCTTTTTAAAAATATCTCTCCAGAGCTTACATTTTGTTCATTACACTGAGCTTTGCTTTTTTTAATGCAAAAACCATGTTCTGTGTGAATGGCCCCTACAGAGAATTTTCATTGACTCTGTGCTCAAGTTACGTTGTTGTACTAGTAGGTGATGACACGTGACTGTGTTTATGAGTGAGTCATTTGAATAATTTGTCAACCAATTAATTCCAAAACACTGAATCATTTAGAAATGGATCAAGGGACTGCCTTTATGAGCCATTAAAGCATTAAAACCGATTCGTTGAGTCATTCATCAAACCGGTTCGTTCAGTAGAGCTGATTGAGTCAGAAGTGAGTCAAGTAATCATGTAATGCTTTGCTATAAAGAGCATGTCTAACAGGACAATGAACTGGTTCTAAATTGAAAATCTTTGAATGTATTAACATTACTCACCTGATTGGATCTTGCTAGAAGAATAGCCAAATCTCGGTTGTTGTTGTCCCGGGCTTTATCAAGAGCAGTGTGGCCTGTCTGTTGATAGATTTAGCAAATTGTCATTTAGCAGATGCTGTCATCCAAAGCAATTTACAGCTCAATTTGAGCGGCCCTGTTATAACCCCATCCCCACCCCCATTATAACGTACTTTCATAATAACAACACAATCATAAAGAGATTGAAGCATTTCATGAGATTACATGACTTACGTTGTTTCTGATGTTTGCGTCAGCTCCAGCTTCCAGTAACAGATTGACAGTTTTCTTGTGATTTAGGGCAGCAGCGACATGGAGCGCAGTGTCTCCTACCTGTAAAATATGTTGATTTTCCCCAAGACTATGACCAAAAAAGCTGCAGTTGTACATGCAATTAACAGGAGAAGATGCTGTAATGTAAACTACAATCTAGTGGTTAAAAGCAGACCATTTAATTGTTTGTTCATTTGCCTCTGAATTTTTCATTGTGTGCCAGTTTCTTATGGTTTGTTGAAGTATAAAATAATACACTATCAAGCCATAAATTATTTTATAGTTTTGTTTTCATTTGACAGTTTATAGCATAATTGCCTATTAACTTAGTCTTAGACTAAATCATTTAGAAACTAGGACACAGCAGTGACACAAAAAATAAACCACATTGGTGCTGGATTCAAAACAATCAGAATGAGGATCTGACCTGGTTTTTCTCAGTCACAGAGCAGAAAGAACCCAAGAGGATCTTAATCATGGCCAAGTGATTGTAGCGTGCAGCAATGTGTAAACAAGTGTCACCTGCCTGGAAGGAAAGAAATTGTTCTTTTTCAGTATTTAATATATAATCATTTAAAATAGATTGTAATGATTTTAGAAGAGTGCACTTGCATTGTTTTTGCTGTCAGGCATCACTCCACCTTGTAATAAAACTCGAGCGGTATGGGAATGTCCATTCTGACATGCTAGATGCAGAGGTGTGTTTCCTGCCTTTAAAAATAAAATATGAATACAATTTAAATAATAGAATAGAAACTGATTGCATAATAATCATTCATCAAAATTCACCACAAGAGATTTTCTAAATGTAACAGAACATCTCCCGTTTTCAAAATGGTGTGATTTAGCAGGTTTTAATCCATATCTGTTAGCTGTTTTGACTACAGTAAACTGACATAATTTTAGCAGATATATGCATTAAAAAAAAGAAAGAAAAAGAAAATGCATTAAAAAGATGCAGACTTACAGTGAACAAATAAATAAATAAAAAATCAAATAAAAATGTACGTACCCATGTCCACTTTCCAGAATTTTTCTTTTTTTCTTTTTACTTCGTTTTGGAAAATGAACATGGACGTATAAATTTTTTTTTCTTTGTACACAGAAATATTCTGTAGAATGAGATTTTCCCTCCCATATACTATCAGCTGACTATCAAATAGCAGTTCATGCTGTAACCAAACAAACCATAACCTAAAAGCTAATCGCTGTCCTTTGCTAGGAAGCCCTTTTTTTCTATGCATGTACACAGTGTTTATATATATACAGTATATATATATAGTGATACAGAAGTTCCTTTTGTTGTCTAAATGAAAAAAATAATAATAACATTAAAATTGTATGGCATTTGGGCTTCCTGTTTCAAAATGAAATGCATAAATATAGGAAGGAAATTTTTGCTTTTCAAAATATTTGTTGGGGTCTCTAAAGAAACGAAAGAAAATTGACATTTTTTAAATAGATAATCTGGTTTAATCCTAAAGTAAATGGAAAATATTGACTTACTTTGTTCTTCACTTGGACATTGCCTCCAGCTTTGACCAGTAGCTTTACACATGAACTGAAGCCATGCCATGATACCTCATGCAAAGCAGTGTTTCCTTCCTGATGAAAGAAAATCAGATTCTATAGCATTGATTTTAACACAAACAAACAAATAAACAAACAAAATTCCCATGTACGATAGTCAGGATTTTTTCATCTGACATGTTTATTTACAGCTAACAAGATCCTTGAATCTTGATTCGTTTAAATTACAACAGTTCTGTTATTAATATTCATGATGAAACAAAAAGATGATATATTGATTGCAAATGAACAGACCTTGTCTTGTAGATCAAGTGCACAGCCTCCATGGATGAGGGCAGAGATTGCATCACGGTTTCCCACAACAGCTGCCCGGTGCAGGGCTGTCTGATGACCCTGGAAAAAACAAAAACACATCCAGTTTGATTTAACATTTAGCACTGTTGTGTGGCCATATAGTCTATCTAAGCGCAAAGGCCACCAGAGGTCATACATCAGCCACATTAAAACTCTCTAGAAGATCGCAAATTGTGGCCTTGGCAAAAATCACAAAAATATTGGCTTAAGCCTTCTTATCATTCTCTCAAGGGAATAATGGTCAACACAGACACAAAAAAGGAAGTAAAAGAGATAGACCATGAGTTTACATCTTCCAGGCCACCTTTGTAGCTGCCGTCTGCCCCCTGTGGAGTGAGTGCTGCCTCCGTATGACTGTTATGTGAGACCAGGGGAACTGGATAGCAGCCGTCCTGTGGAAAACAAGACACGCATGCTCACATAAAAGAAATCACACGCAGATGCGCCACAATCCCGCACACAGGGACTTACAGACCGAGAGCGTATGACCAGCTGGCATTACTGACATTAAAAGAGTCGCATGGGTAATCCCTCGCACAGGAATGAGATTCATTGTTGTCTTTTCTTTAGGTCTATGGGCAAGAGAGAATATTTCTGGATAAGAATGAAACTCATCAGATCTCTGTGATTTAAGCTCTTGTTCTGATTTCAGGGCTGTCTCTGTAAATTTTGTGTGTAGCAATATGCTTCTCTTTTATAAAGCCAAATGAATGGTTAAATTAGGACAAAACAAGTGGTAGAATTGAAAAAATAAACAAGCTTTATTATGTTTATTTCCATTATTCCACTAAATGTGCTTTTACTTTCTGAAATTTAGTGCATCAACACAGGACAATAATGTGTATGGTAATGTAAAATATGTATAATAAATAATTGCAAATCTAGCATTCATTTACAATTAAAAAATTAATTGAGACTACAGGATGGTAATAGATTTTAGCTCCATTGAATTGTGTTTAGCTCCATTGAATTGTATTGAACACCGCAGTCCAAATGAAAATCTTTGACAAACCAATCATCAAAAGGCTGATTCTGATATGACTAGATTTGTATAAATATAAGTTCACATAAATATTATAGTAATATTTTTATAAATATCTGAGAGTGATGATGACTTGATATTTCTTATGTTTATTCAATATATTTTAATCTGCATAAGGTTATGGTCTGAGTTTTTATTTTAAATATTTGATCAAATAAACATTAAATAAGATGAAATAAATATGTGTTGTTATTGTAAAATCAAAAAAGGTACTAATTTACTCAAATTAAAACTATTTGAAAAATGTTGTTAACTGAAAAGCTGAAATAAAATAAAATAATAAAAATGAATACATACAGTATGTGAAAAATTTGAACTGAAATAAAAACTAATTGAAGCTAAATAAAAAACTAAATGACAAAAGCAAATAACAAAATTACTAAAACGAAAACGAAATAAAATTGAAAACTGAAAATATAAAAACTAAAAGCTAATTCAAAATATGAATAAACTTTATAATTGTGTATAATAACACTTTCTCTAAGTAATGTCAAAATGAAAATGGTTTTTGTACCACGTCTCAAGAATCAGCGTTTTGTTGAACTGGCTTGAGTATTTCTCAGAGAAGAGCACGTGATGATCTCATTCTCTCACTGAAGAGTGATTTTGATTGCATACAGCAACATTGAAGCATTAGAGAGATTGCTGAAAACAGCGTAAAAATATGCATTAAACAATGGACACATTAAAAGCCTGGACCAAATGTGCTAAAGAGCCAGATTGAAGAGTTGCAGAGTTTGATCTCATGGGTTTAGCAAGATATCCCAGATGAGAGTCCTAAAAGCTATACAGTTGGGTCATGGTAGGACAGATGGAGAAGAGCTCTGGTGTCTCTTTTACTAGTTAAATAGAAAAAATAATAATAATGTTGCTTGCTGCTCAACAGTTGGTGCTTATAACCTCTTTTAGTCTAGCTCATGAAATATTAATATTTTGCTGCACTCAAGCAACCTCTGTACTTTTGTAGTTTTTGTTCTACATCCAACACTGTAAATAAAAATCTGTGACATTTACGGTAAAATACCGGCAGCTGTGGTTGCCAGAACTTCACCGTAAAAAAAATATGGTAGCAACATTTTAGGTTTTACAAACTTGACTTAAAAACCAACACATTGAAGTACTAATATCTGTTTTGAACCATTGTAATGCACCGATAACCACCAAAAGCTGGTGGTGATGAGAAAGTCACATGATGAACCAAAGCTCATCATAAACAGCTTTTCTACGAGCTAAGGAGGGCAATACTTATATATAGAAGGTGCACAATGTCATTCACACTAACACTAAACCCCATCATGGTGGCACACATGATACTCAAATATAGAAACGTTATTTCAACAAAAAAACATCAACCAGAATTTTTCTTTTTTTCTTTTTACTTCGTTTTGGAAAATGAACATGGACGTATAAATTTTTTTTTCTTTGTACACAGAAATATTCTGTAGAATGAGATTTTCCCTCCCATATACTATCAGCTGACTATCAAATAGCAGTTCATGCTGTAACCAAACAAACCATAACCTAAAAGCTAATCGCTGTCCTTTGCTAGGAAGCCCTTTTTTTCTATGCATGTACACAGTGTTTATATATATACAGTATATATATATAGTGATACAGAAGTTCCTTTTGTTGTCTAAATGAAAAAAATAATAATAACATTAAAATTGTATGGCATTTGGGCTTCCTGTTTCAAAATGAAATGCATAAATATAGGAAGGAAATTTTTGCTTTTCAAAATATTTGTTGGGGTCTCTAAAGAAACGAAAGAAAATTGACATTTTTTAAATAGATAATCTGGTTTAATCCTAAAGTAAATGGAAAATATTGACTTACTTTGTTCTTCACTTGGACATTGCCTCCAGCTTTGACCAGTAGCTTTACACATGAACTGAAGCCATGCCATGATACCTCATGCAAAGCAGTGTTTCCTTCCTGATGAAAGAAAATCAGATTCTATAGCATTGATTTTAACACAAACAAACAAATAAACAAACAAAATTCCCATGTACGATAGTCAGGATTTTTTCATCTGACATGTTTATTTACAGCTAACAAGATCCTTGAATCTTGATTCGTTTAAATTACAACAGTTCTGTTATTAATATTCATGATGAAACAAAAAGATGATATATTGATTGCAAATGAACAGACCTTGTCTTGTAGATCAAGTGCACAGCCTCCATGGATGAGGGCAGAGATTGCATCACGGTTTCCCACAACAGCTGCCCGGTGCAGGGCTGTCTGATGACCCTGGAAAAAACAAAAACACATCCAGTTTGATTTAACATTTAGCACTGTTGTGTGGCCATATAGTCTATCTAAGCGCAAAGGCCACCAGAGGTCATACATCAGCCACATTAAAACTCTCTAGAAGATCGCAAATTGTGGCCTTGGCAAAAATCACAAAAATATTGGCTTAAGCCTTCTTATCATTCTCTCAAGGGAATAATGGTCAACACAGACACAAAAAAGGAAGTAAAAGAGATAGACCATGAGTTTACATCTTCCAGGCCACCTTTGTAGCTGCCGTCTGCCCCCTGTGGAGTGAGTGCTGCCTCCGTATGACTGTTATGTGAGACCAGGGGAACTGGATAGCAGCCGTCCTGTGGAAAACAAGACACGCATGCTCACATAAAAGAAATCACACGCAGATGCGCCACAATCCCGCACACAGGGACTTACAGACCGAGAGCGTATGACCAGCTGGCATTACTGACATTAAAAGAGTCGCATGGGTAATCCCTCGCACAGGAATGAGATTCATTGTTGTCTTTTCTTTAGGTCTATGGGCAAGAGAGAATATTTCTGGATAAGAATGAAACTCATCAGATCTCTGTGATTTAAGCTCTTGTTCTGATTTCAGGGCTGTCTCTGTAAATTTTGTGTGTAGCAATATGCTTCTCTTTTATAAAGCCAAATGAATGGTTAAATTAGGACAAAACAAGTGGTAGAATTGAAAAAATAAACAAGCTTTATTATGTTTATTTCCATTATTCCACTAAATGTGCTTTTACTTTCTGAAATTTAGTGCATCAACACAGGACAATAATGTGTATGGTAATGTAAAATATGTATAATAAATAATTGCAAATCTAGCATTCATTTACAATTAAAAAATTAATTGAGACTACAGGATGGTAATAGATTTTAGCTCCATTGAATTGTGTTTAGCTCCATTGAATTGTATTGAACACCGCAGTCCAAATGAAAATCTTTGACAAACCAATCATCAAAAGGCTGATTCTGATATGACTAGATTTGTATAAATATAAGTTAACATAAATATTATAGTAATATTTTTATAAATATCTGAGAGTGATGATGACTTGATATTTCTTATGTTTATTCAATATATTTTAATCTGCATAAGGTTATGGTCTGAGTTTTTATTTTAAATATTTGATCAAATAAACATTAAATAAGATGAAATAAATATGTGTTGTTATTGTAAAATCAAAAAAGGTACTAATTTACTCAAATTAAAACTATTTGAAAAATGTTGTTAACTGAAAAGCTGAAATAAAATAAAATAATAAAAATGAATACATACAGTATGTGAAAAATTTGAACTGAAATAAAAACTAATTGAAGCTAAATAAAAAACTAAATGACAAAAGCAAATAACAAAATTACTAAAACGAAAACGAAATAAAATTGAAAACTGAAAATATAAAAACTAAAAGCTAATTCAAAATATGAATAAACTTTATAATTGTGTATAATAACACTTTCTCTAAGTAATGTCAAAATGAAAATGGTTTTTGTACCACGTCTCAAGAATCAGCGTTTTGTTGAACTGGCTTGAGTATTTCTCAGAGAAGAGCACGTGATGATCTCATTCTCTCACTGAAGAGTGATTTTGATTGCATACAGCAACATTGAAGCATTAGAGAGATTGCTGAAAACAGCGTAAAAATATGCATTAAACAATGGACACATTAAAAGCCTGGACCAAATGTGCTAAAGAGCCAGATTGAAGAGTTGCAGAGTTTGATCTCATGGGTTTAGCAAGATATCCCAGATGAGAGTCCTAAAAGCTATACAGTTGGGTCATGGTAGGACAGATGGAGAAGAGCTCTGGTGTCTCTTTTACTAGTTAAATAGAAAAAATAATAATAATGTTGCTTGCTGCTCAACAGTTGGTGCTTATAACCTCTTTTAGTCTAGCTCATGAAATATTAATATTTTGCTGCACTCAAGCAACCTCTGTACTTTTGTAGTTTTTGTTCTACATCCAACACTGTAAATAAAAATCTGTGACATTTACGGTAAAATACCGGCAGCTGTGGTTGCCAGAACTTCACCGTAAAAAAAATATGGTAGCAACATTTTAGGTTTTACAAACTTGACTTAAAAACCAACACATTGAAGTACTAATATCTGTTTTGAACCATTGTAATGCACCGATAACCACCAAAAGCTGGTGGTGATGAGAAAGTCACATGATGAACCAAAGC